TTTTTCCTTCTTTTTTTTGTTTTATTTTTATTTTTTTTTTATTTTGAGTGTAACTGATTTGTTCTTAAAAGACTTTTTTAAAGACAGGGTCTCACTCTGTGTCCTAGGCTGGAATGCAATGATACAATCACGGCTTACTGCAGCCTTAATCTCCTGCACTCAGCCGATCCTTCCACCTCCGCCTCCCGAGTAGCTGGGACTACAGGCCCACACCACGCATGCCCAGCTAATTTTTTGTAGAGAAGAGGTTTCACCATGTTGCCTAGGATGGTCTCAAACTCCTGGGCTCAAGCAATACACCAGCCTTAGCCTCCCAAACTGATAGGATTACAGGCATGAGTCACTGTGCCAGCCAAATAGATTTTTTTTTTAAGCAATTACATGGAGTTGCCTTAATTTGCCCATTTCCAAGTGGCTGTATATTCACATTCTGATTGTCCCCAACTATATAATTCTACAAAGAGTCTCTCCACATACATTTCCCCATTTTGGACTATTTCTTTCCTCCCTGGCATGTTCCATGCAACTATCCACCTGTTTCCTAACAATTCTGGGGTCCCCATACCATGGGACATGATGTGGTCTGGAAGTTTGTACCCTCCAAATAGGGAGGTGATTGAATCATGGGGCAGATCCCTCATGAATGGCTCGTTGCTGTCCTCAAGGTAATGAGTGAGTTCTTGCTCTAAGTCAATGTGAGATCTGATGATGATGATGATGATTTTGAGATAGGGTCTTGGTCTGTCACCCAGGCTGGAGTGAAGTGGCACGATCTTGGCTCACTGAAACCTCTATCTCCTGGGCTCACGCAATCCTCCTACATCAGCCTCCTGAGTAGCTAAGGCTACTGGTACATGTTGTCCCACCTGGCTAATTTTTGTAGAGACAGAGTATCACCATGTTGTCCAAACTTGTCTCGAAATCCTGAGCTCACGTGATCTTCCTGCCCTAGCTTCCCAAATTGGTGGGATTACAAGCATGAGCCACCACATCTGGCCTATTTTTTAAATTTTTTAATAGAAATGAGGTCTCACTATTTCCCTAGGTTGGTCTTTAATTCCTAAGCTCAAGCAATCCTCCTGCCTCAGCCTCCCAAAGTGCTGGGATTACAGGCATGAACCACCATGCCTGGTCCAAGATCTGGTTAAGGGTGTGCAGGTCGGTTGCAGTGGCTCATGCCTGTAATCCAGCATTTTGGGAGGCTGAGGCATGCAGATCACATGAGATCAGGAGCTTGAGACCAGCCTGACCAATATGGAGAAACCCCGTCTCTACTAAAAATACAAAATTAGCCAGGTGTGGTGGCACATGTCTGTAATCTCAGCTACTTAGGAGGCTGAGGCAGGAGATTTACTTAAACCCGGGAGGCAGAGGTTGCTGTGAGCCAAGATCGTGTCACTGCATTCCAGCTTGGGCAACAAGAGCAAAACTCCATCTCAAAAAAAAAAAAGTGTGGGCCGGGCGCGGTGGCTCAAGCCTGTAATCCCAGCACTTTGGGAGGCCGAGGTGGGTGGATCACGAGGTCAAGAGATCGAAACCATCCTGGTCAACA